TTCTTCTTTCTTTTTTTCTTTAGTTCTTTTTTTTCTTGACAAGTTTTAATTGAGTTAAACGCGAAGAAAACCTTTTAATCAAATTAATAATTTTAAAGTTGCTAGTCTTATTGATCTTAATGAACTTTTGTAATAATTAATTCAACTCAGCATGCCGACAAGAAGAATATCTCTGTAATAATATAAATTCAAACAACACATACATTGCTTACACGGTCACTACTTTATCACGCTGGCTAACTTGAAATTCATCCAATACCAGCTCACTTAAATCGAATATCACTAAACAAAATAAAAGGGCAAAAAAGAAATTTAATTTAAAAACAAACATAATGAATATATTTCATAGTTAAAATAATAATAATAATAATAATAATAATAATAATAACTAGAAATTATCAAGTACATATACTAAAATATTGTGTTAGCCCAAAATGCAGATTCGTGATAAATATCCAGAAACGATTGATCATCTTGCATCAGCTTGCACGATATTGCACCCACTGAATATACAACCCAACATGACAGAGTGGGTCAATATCTGCATTGGGAAATTTACAACTTCTACAGGAAGGAAACTGAAAGAAAATGGTATGAACACCAACCAGACCCGGTTACGGGGATAGGACCTGTTACAATTCTATGGGACTACACAATATACACTGACAGAACAATCAAGGCCAACCGCCCAGATATTGTTATTAAGACCACAAACAAAAAAATTGCCTCCTTATTTGATATGGCAGTCCCTGCAGACTGCAATGTATCTTTTTTGAATATTCAAAAAGCTATCAAAATACAAGGACCTTGAAATAGAAATCTCAAGAATGTAAATGATATAATCAACATCAACAATCCCTGTTGTAGTTGGAGCCCTCAGGATTGGTTGGAAAAGATTCCAGTAGACTAATTGAAGGGATTCCTGGAAGCCCATGCCTTAAAGAAATACAAAAAATTGTTCTCACATGTACAGCCCACACTTTACGAAAAGGCTTTATCTATGTAATTTTTTTTTGTCAGTGTAAAGTGTCATGATGCCATTTCTAACCTTAGGTCTCTGGTGGGGGGGACCTGGAAAGAAATGTGTACACACCAGAAATCAAAGGAAATAGAAACAATAATAATAATAAAACGACATATCACCACTAACTGATGCGTTACGAAGTGATACGAAAAAAGAAAACATGGAATCTATTAACGTCTGGAGTAAAGGATAGTAAAAAAACAAAAAAACAAAGACAATGCATCGCTAAAGTTACAGACTCTATCAACATAGAGAAAAAAAAACCCTTTGATTATGGCTTATGAAGGCTGAAAGCACTCAGAAATAATGAACAATTTATGTTCATATTCTCCCTGAAAATCAGAAAAATGGTTCAAAGCGTAAAAATAAAGAAAATAGAATAAAGAACTTTTTTTTTTGCAATCGAAATTATTATTATTATTATTATTCCCCCTCCTCCTCCTCCTTCCCCTCCTCCTTCTTTCTCCCCTCCTCATCCTTCCTCCTCTCCCTCCTCCTCCTTCTCCCCGCCTCCTCCTCCTTCTTCCACCTTCTCCTCCTTCTCCCTTCTCCTCCTCCTCCTTCTTCTTCTTCTCCTTCTTCTTCATGCTGTGTCACTTCACTGTACCCCGAAAATTGTCTGTCCTTTGTAGGTCTTAGTAATTTTTTCCTTTTTGTTATCTCTGCTAATCTTTATTCTGCTATCCATTTACACAAGATCGTTAAGTCCGTTATGCGTAGTTTTCCTCTGCCCCCTCTTGCCTATAAAATGTCCTTCTAGTGTCTAATTCTCCAAGACTTCTTTCCTCATTATGTGCTCTAGAAATCCCATTTGTCTCTTTCTGATGTTATAAGTTTCCTTGTTTCCATTTTTCGTAATTTTCAAAAGGTACATTAAAATTGAATAAAAATATCTCACGTGTAAAAAGGAGTTTAAGACTAACCTGTCAGTGTGTTTCAACATGTTCAAACTAAGGTCAAATCTGACATAAAACACCATTCATATGATCCCCTTTGATCGTCAAACTCAATTTGTAATACGCTACAATGCTTACTTAATAATAAAAACAACAATAGACGTTGGAAGAAAGTTTATATTGAATAGGAAACTGGTTTTAGCCATGGGAGATTATTGCCTTCTTTTAATGTTTCGGTCGGGAATTAGGACCGCAGATTAGTACATTCAAATAATTGGAATATTTATATTTCTACAAACGATACAATCTAAAATATACATTTAGAAAAGTGGGATCACATCTAAAATATCCGTGCAGGACGACTCAACGCCGACGACTAAAGACTCGTCGACATTTTAAAACCGAATAAAAGTAATTTATTAAAGATCGTTTTTTAATACATGATTTTAGTTTTCATTTTTTTTTTTTTTTTTTAGATATCTATTAAGTTGAGTCTAAACTACGTTGAGTCATTAGGTTGGGTCATTAGTAAATTCTCAGGTTGAATCCATCACCCTAACTAATCGTTACTTAAATATAGTGGGGTAATAAATCTATCTATCTATCTATCTATCTATCTATCTATCTATCTATCTATCTATCTATCTATCTATCTTTTTGATTGATTCATTTTCTACACTTTACAGGTTATTTAAAAAGTACGACAAGGTTTCCTCATTTTACAGTCGAAATATCTACCGTAAGTTTTATGATAACATTCTCTTCTATCGCACTTCTGGCTTGTGAAACTTTCTACGGGTTCCATGCTTTCAAGCCAAATTTGAGCTTCAAAAATTTAAATGCAATATCAATCGTTATCTACTGTTTTCTTGATTTTCCTCTTCTATTATTCTCGCTCCTCAATAATGTTTGACTTTTTTTCATTCTTTCACACTTAGTAAAGATAATAAACGTTTAGGGATACAAGTCTTACTAATTAACCTATAGGTGTGGAGGAAAAATGTTGAATTCATACTTGTCCCAAAAGTGTGCGCAAATGAATATAAGGAACCCAACTAAAATTGGAATTCAATTCGGTTGTCTGATTAACAATTTCGAACTATTATCCATTAAACCACCTGCACACCCAAGCTTATAGCACTTGATATCCTCAAGCGCTCACTTCATCTAGGTACTGACCGGGCCCGACGTTGTTGTCGACTTAATGATGATACGGGAACCAAAATGTTTCAACGTGATGCAGTTTAAGGCTACATATATATATATATATATATATATATATATATATATATATATATATATATATATATATATATATATATATATATATTATAAATATATTATATATATATATATATATATATATATATATATATATATTCCAAACTGCAAAAATAAATTATATATATATTAGGTTGCGTCTTATTTTTTGAGTCAAAAGTAATTTCCGTTTTAGGAATCAATTATAATGAAGAATGTATCATCCTAACTAATCTATACTTAAATATAACAGATGAAAAGTGTGTCATCTATCTATCTATCTATCTCTCCCCCCCTCTCTCTCTCTCTCTATATATATATATATATATATATATATATATATGTTCATATCTATCTATCTATCTGATTTCGTTCATATCTATCTCACTTTGTTCATATCTATCTATCTATGATTAATAAAAATATAAAATTCATCACTTAGGAAAAATTAATTACTATTTTGAAGTGACCATGGACAAAAATGTTGTGTGATCTGGTCGATTGTAAAAAAAAAAAATGCATAAGACAGAGAAAAGATAAACTTTCGTTTTAAGGAGAGTGAAAATAAATTTTTCTTTCCTTTTCTAATTCTTGAGAGGTCTGGTCGATTCGAGAAACTCCAGTATGTGGCAAACTGATAGATAAGGATTAATGACTGAAAATCCATTTTGTTTTCACTTCGCCATCTAGAATTTGGATTTGTCACTCCAGCTCGGGAAGCGGTGTGATGTTGGCTGCTGAGAAAGTGGGAGAAGACAGAGAAAGAAGAGAAAGAGATTAGCATCGGCGATATGGAGAGCTTATCCTGCAAGGCGAAATGAAAAGGGATTTGGAGAAGGGGTTAAGGACAGCCCCAAATTTGGAAAACCACTTGAGGAAATTTATTTTTTATATGGGAATTTAGAAAAGGTTGTGAGTTTGGGTAGCCGATAGCCGGGCCAGTAACCTGGTCAACCCCCACCCTCTGCCAGACGCAGGACTCTGTATAAACTGTAAATTTGGGACCCAGAAGATAGATAGATAGATAGATAGATAGATAGATATGAACAGACTGAGATAGATAGATATGAACAGGCTGAGATAGATAGATAGATAGATAGATAGATAGATAGATAGATAGATAGATAGATAGATATGAACAGACTCAGATAGATAGATAGATAGATAGATAGATAGATAGATAGATAGATAGATAGATAGATATGAACAGACTCAGATAGATAGATAGATAGATAGATAGATAGATAGATAGATAGATAGATAGATATTAACAGACTGGAATAGATAGATAGATAGATAGATAGATAGATAGATAGATAGATAGATAGATAGATAGATATTAACAGACTGGAATAGATAGATAGATAGATAGATAGATAGATAGATAGATAGATAGATAGATAGATAGAGAGAGAGACACACAGAGAGAGACAGAGAGAGAGAGAAAGAGAGGGAGTCTCCACACCACTACTACCAAAATCCATATCGTTTGCCGAGGCATCTTAATCAAGACTGTGTACTGAACCTGAAGACCAGAACTTAGAAATTTATGTTGCTATTGAAACAAGCTGCAGCTTCTGAAGTGGATCCCGGTGTCATTTGATTATAACAACAAGTGAAAAGCATTAAAACTGCCGTATACAACAAATCATATATAAACCAAAATCTTGTTATATTTTCAACCCGATTTCATTCTTTACTTCAGAAGATTCTTGTTTTTTTTTTTGTAGCTTCCAAATTTCAGAACCGTTTTCATTTCAAGTTTGCTTCGTCAGCGATCTTCTCAACCTCTGAGATCAAAAACACAATGTGGCAGAGGAATGAATGGTCGTGAAGAGACAAACGCCAGCTAAGTCGATTGGAAGCGTGCCCATCATCACGATACCAGCAACAAAAACGAGTCACGCGCTAACGAATGAAGAGCCAGCTAAATGGGAACCAAAGCGGCCTGAAGGAACTTGAGGACAAACGACTGGGTGACATAATAGGTTGCCACTGTCTAGGACCGACGAGTAAGGGGTGACATTATTCGTTACCGCTGCTTAGGATCCAGACGATTTGGGGGTTACATTGCCGTTGACCAGGATCGACTTTATTAATTTTATCCTTTTCTTTCTTTCTTTTTATTTAAGCATTTATTCTCTCTTTTTTCTTCCTTTCTTTTTAAATAAACCACAAAAAGTAAGATGTAACACGAAATACAAATAAATTATTTTTATTTTATCTTGCTAACCTGTTCCGTTTTATTTTATTTAACTTAATTCATTTTACTCTTTTCTTTCTTTCATTTTCTTTCTTTCTTTTCTTTCTTTTAACTTCATCCCTTTTAACGTTTTTCTTTCTTTCATTTTCTTTCGTTTATTTTCTTTCTCTCATTTTTCTTTCCTTTAACGTCATCCTTTTACTCTTTCTTTCTTTCCTTCTTTCTTTCTTTCTTTCAACTTCATCCCTTTTATCCTTTTCTTTCTTTTTCTTTCTCTTACATCGTTATTTAACCTTTTTATAACTTTAATTCGTTTTCTGTCTACTCCATTTTAACCTTTTATTTACTTATTTATTCATGTAGTCTGCTCCATTATTTTTATTCATTTCTTTCCTTCTTCCTTCATCATTTCTTTCTTTCTTAAACCGCCTCTTCCTTGTTTATATTCTTTCTTTCTTTCTTTCTTTCTTTCTTTCTTTCTTTCTTTCTTTCTTTCTATTTACAATTGTTTTCTTTCATTTCTCTATATTTCCCAACCGTCCGTTCTTCTCTTTTTTCTTGCGTCTTCATTTTCTAGGAATTTACACCTGCAGTCTCTTTCCTTGTCTTTTTTTTTTTTTTTTCACCCTATCGAACGTAACTTACTCTTTTTTTTCCCTTTTCATTCACTTGATCTTCCAGGGCTTCCATTTTTTTCTATGACGTAATGGGCACGTGACCTTTGAAGATTAAGTCGAAAAAGTCCATCTGTCTGATTTCCGCTGGTCGCGCTAAGTATGTACGTGTCGATTAAACGCCAAAAAGAAAACCAAAAAATAAAAAAAAAGACCAGAATAAAAGAAAATAAAAAAAGACAAAAAAGAAAAATGGAGGCAAAAAAAGGTTAAGATAAACCAAAGGGAGATAAATATGCAAAGAGTCTTGCGAGGAGAGGACGACCAGAAGGAAATTGAAATGGCATCTATTGAAGTGAGATCTTGGAGAAGTTCACACCGTGTCAGAATTTTGAAACAAACTCAATCAAATATCCGTTTTACGCTTAGACGTAAAATGTCGATCTAAAAACAAAGCAAAAACTGTAAAAACAACATGGAGTCTGCAACAAAATACCGCCTTGCTTTAAAGCTTAGATTCGACACTTTGAATTTATGTTTAGTGAGCATATCTCGTACCCCATTACTACTGCAGTGAATTAGATCCTTTCAAGCGCTCTATATTTATAGCCTTGTGTCAATCTAAGCTAACCTTAAAAAATACGACGCCTATCTGTACAGTAGTGGCTAACGAGCATTTCATTACTACTGAATTGTGGTTCCATCTTCACACACATATACCGTAATTCGACCCCCCCAAAAAACAAATTTTGAAGGAAGAAATCAGAAAAAAAGTCTTTTTCTTGTATTTCATAGCCCCATCCGCAATTTTACCCAATGAATGCCATATTTCAGCCTGAAAACCTGACTACTTACGACAAATTCATCACAGACTGAGAAGTACCAATTTTATGGTAACTATTTAGAATGGAGTAACTAGAAGAGAAGCCGAAGAGCATAATACCACTGAAACATAACCTTATTGTAACCTGAAATCTACAAAGTTATCACACTCTGCTAGAGATAATCCTATGGATGTGGCTCTAGATATCTCAAAGGCGTTCGATAGGGTTTAGCACCCTGGCCTTCTACACAAGATGCAGAGCTACGGTGTCTTATATGGCTTAATCCAATCGTACCTAACAAATCGTGTAGTGAACGTCGTGTTGGTCGGGAATGCTTACAGTTCATTTCATCACCTGTTATCATGTATTTGAAGAACGGGTTATTTCTCTGTTATGAAAAGACTTGTTGGCATGGATAAATGGTCTGTTTTTTTTGGGGGGGGGGTTAGATAATAATGGTTTAGTGATACAAGTCTTACTAATTAACCCATAGCTGGGGGAGAAGCAGTGTATTCATCAGTTTCCCAAGGGCATTTGCCCCTAAGTGAATATAACAAACCCAACTGGAATTTGAATTTGGCTCTCTGATAAACAATTCTTAGCCATAAGCTATTACACCAGCCACACACCCAAGCTTACAGCACCTGGTATTTTGAAGTGGTCAACCATCTAGGTATTGACCAGGTTCAGCATTGCTTCACTTTGATGATCGTATGGGAATCAATGTTTCAATGTAATATGGCCGTAAAAAAAAAATAGAATGCCTTTGATGGCATTGTAGTGAATGTGAAATCAACAAGAATTTTATGAAAATCTTTCAAAATTGATCCATTTTTGTTTATACTTCTGAGATATTTCAGTCACCTGAAAAAGGCGGAAGCGTACAACGGCCAAAATGGTAGATTATGTTTTTGTTTTTGTTTTTTTTTTAAGAAAGGTAAAAATATAACTGAAAATGCAAAAGCAAAATTGTACCATTTATTTTTTATTTTTTTTTATTTTTTTGAATGTGTCAAAAGGCTTTTTAGAGAAATTTTATTAAACTTGACGGGAAAATAAATTTTTTAAAAATTATCCATAGTATTATCAGCAGTACACGAATCTGTGAGATTGAATCAGAAATAATTTCCATTTCTGTTTATCAATGATCCGCGTATTTCCTTTTGCCAAGAGTGGGGTGTGAAGGGAGAACGAAAAACACCCAGTTTGCTGACTTAACCTATTTTTCCTAAGTGTCTACATTTGATAGATTTTGTCATTTGTTTAAGACCTTTGCTAATTTCCAAGGTACTTTATGATAGATTGCATTACAATAATTTTTTCTACTAACGAGTTCAGGGACCTTTTTGACCAAACGTTTATAGACATGTTGCGGCTGCTGAACGTATAAATGTGCATTTATTGTTTTATTGTTTTTAAGAACTCTAAGTGAATAATACACTAACGATCTCACTACAGGCGCAACATTATCTTTCTTCCATAGATTGCAGTTTTTGGATCAATTGTAGGAATTTATCATTGTCAATCCACTGCCTTTTGTTTCGGACATTGTTATATGTAAGACACTTTTATCTCTAGACATCTCAAATACCTTCAACAGAGGTTTGGCATCCTGGCCCTTTACGCAAGAGCTACGGTGTTCCTGGATGAATATTTGGCTTAATTCAATCGTACCTAACAAATCGTGTAGTGATGACCGTGTTGGACGGGTAATGCTTCCAGATCTTTTCAAACTAATGGGAGGAAGGCCCTCCAGAACTCTATCCTTGGGCCTACGCTGTTTCTGATCTTCATCAATGATCTCCCTGATGCCATCAGTTCCAAACTAGTTATTTATACAAATGACCCAACCATTTACTCCTGTCTTAGTTGCAAGTCCAACGGACCGACAAAGTAAAGCTAGTAACTGTTTGTGAAAACGACCTCCAATCAGTTGTTTACTGGGGCAAGAAATAGCTTGTAAATTATAATGTCTACAAATAAAAACTGCTTTAATTTAATCAGCACAGAGAACCTTTTTATGCTTGACATCAGCATGACTGATGCTAAACTCTAGGATAGCAACACTCTAAACCTTGACCTCACTTGACATGAAATGGAGCGACTATCGAAGAAAGTTCACTGTATCGAGACAGAAATTTTTTCTTGTGAGAAGCCATTTTGCATATTTATAAATCTCCTATTCGCCCGTGCATTGAATACTGCTGCCATATCTGGTCTGTGGCTTCTATTATGCTTCTCGAGCTTCTTGACATAATCCAAAGAATGATCTGCAATATAATAGATCTTGACCTGGCATTTCGACTTCAGTCATTTTCTCACCGACGTGATGTAGATTCCTTCTGTCTTTTCTACATATTTCTTTTTCATGGCAACTGTTCTTATGAGCTTTTTTCCCTCTGGTGCCCGCACTATACGAATTTAAACGTGCTACTAGATTGGCAACTAGGTCTCACCGTTTTATAGTTGAACTAGTTAGATGTAACTGCTACTTCTACTCGAACGGTATCTTTTCTCGCACTTCTCACCCGTGGAAATCCCTTCCGATTTCTTGCTTCCTTGATAATGCAACGTCAATCGCCATCTTCTATCTGTCTGAACCGTGTTCCTTTATTGTACTTTCTCATTGTAACCCCCTGTGATCTAGTGACATTTCCGCCTTGCTTGGATTGAAAGAGGCTCACTGACAATGAAAAAAAATATTTTGAACAAAATATTTTACTTCATTGGATGTCATCACAAAACTCTTTACATACTTATCTCCCTTTGGTTCAGATTTTTGTCTGTTGCCCGAAGACTCTACGCCGGTTTGATTTGCAAATTATCCGCTTGAAATTTCCTTGTTCTACATTGTGTTAAAGTAAGTGTGAGTTTGGTTATGTCTTTTGCTGTTTTGTATTTATTGTTCGTACATTGTTTTCTGTGACTTCTTTTTGTGTTTTGTTCTAACCGGTGTTTCCAACCGGTGCCGTGGGAACGTCAACATTATGGCGGAGTCTCAAACTACTGATGTCACCCCACTGAAGTAGTAGTCCCTTCGGTGTGGACAAAGGAGAAGCCCCCATCAAAAGGATCCAAGTATTATAAAGGACTAAAAGAGAAATATGATGATTATATTAAAGTCACTGGAGCCAGATCTTTTGGAAACGGTGAACACCAGAACTATTTCTCTTTTAACAACCGACGCAAACTAATTGGCGTTAGCAGGGAAATTGTGGAGGATCCCCTTAAGGGCTTCAAATTGGAGCAAAAGTATTGGCTAGAAGAAGCAATGCGATTTGGGATATCTTGCTTGCTTCAGAGGACGCAGCCAAAATCCTGGCTAAAAGCATATTCTTTACCAAAACAGTAAGGCTCCAGACTGAATATCTGGGAACCAGAAAAACCAAAATTACTCTGCTTGGGGTTTCTATGTACATATCAGAGGACCGCTTGGGGTATTTCTCTGTCCAGTTTGGCGAGGTGTCTGATGTCTTGCCAGTTAAAAGCAATAATAATATCAGGAATATAAACGGGAGACATAGAGGTCTGGGTAATCCTCACACGGAAAAACTTCATGGAGATTCCCAATATGCTGATGTGTGGGGGGGTCGTTCCATTTATGTAGTTGTTGAAGGGCGACGACCTCTCTGTTGGGCTTGTGGAGCAACGGGTTATCTCTCCAAAGCATGCCCCGGAAAGAAACAGGAGCAGCAATCTCAGCCACAAAACGCTAGGAAAAACGAAGAGGTGCCAACAAGTCCAAAAGCCGGGAAAGGTTCAGGTGGATGGACGGAGATCACTAAAAAAGGGTAGGGGGAGTGGCATTCCCTACCCACCATGCAGAGCCCAAAGAAACAAAACGGGATCAATAGCAAAAGGTTTATAAGTCCCAACTTGAGCAGGAGAGCCAGTAGAGTCAGAGGAGCGGCAGGAGGAGCGCCATCCAGAACAGCATAAATGTCGGGAGGTGGAAATGGAGGAAATACACCCACCTCGGTCCTCATCCTTGAATAGAGGGAGAGAGGAAGATAAGGAAGAAAAATGAAAAATAAGCACAAAAAAAAGTGAAACCAGCAGGACAAAGTAGGGCAGAGAGGGTGATGGAGAAACCAGTGTCCCAATCCGTCCCTGCTTCGCCGACAAAAAATAAACATATCACAAGGAGCCTCACTTCACCTTTTAAAGTTCCGCCTCCTATCAACACCTCCCTTGCCACTATCTCTCCTCCCAACATCCCGCCCATTAGCTCATCCTAAAAAGGAAAAAATTTGTATCCCAGGGGA